TGTGTTAAAGTATATGAACACACGTGTGGAGTACATAAATAATGTGTTAAAGTATGTGAACACATATGGAGTACATCCCTCATCTCCTTCTAAACAAGTTACATGCATAATGTGTTAAAGTATATGAACACATATGTGTGTGGAGTATATCCCATATCTCCTCTCACACGCTGGAGTACATCCCCCATCTCCTCCCAAATAAAGATACATATATAATGTATTTAAGCACTTTATCACATACCATGATCAATCAATACACATATTTGCTGTATTATTCTAACCATCACATTCAATGACATAACACGTTCGATTAGTTTCAGTTTTCCCTAATCAACATACAGTGTCTACAACAATCAAGACTATCCTCCACCGATAGCCCAAAGTAGTTATCTCTAAACAGATAACAAATTCATCAACAGATAAAATATCGACAATCTCATAGATGAGTGATTAAATTATCCAACTACACCATTTACTCCCACAATTTCCCAATTTCATTATTCTCAACTCAATTTCACATTTTTCCAATTTAATTATTCAAATTAATTATTCAACATAAATAGGGCATTTTCTCCTTTTTCTCAATATCAACCCTAAGGTTCAATTTCATTAATTTAACAACAATAATTCCATTTTCCAAGGTCTCTCATACACATAGAGTTTAACATTTGAAAACTCCCTTTTTATAACCACCAAATAAACCCTAACTTTCCTAAAATTACCCAACATTACTAACTAATCAAAATGACTAATATTTATGTCAAAACTCAAAAGAAGGAGTAGATCATCCCTACCTCAAAGTTCGGAGCTCAAAGGAAATGAGGAGAAAAACCAAAGATGCTCCAAATGCGAGATTTTTCGGATCAAAGGAGCCCACCCCGAGCACAACCTTTCTTACAAAGGGACTAGGCTAGAAACACACTAGAAGTAGATCAATCCCTAGAGAGAAGGTAAATGTAGAGAGAGAGGGAGCTGAATCTAGTGTTTTGAAATCAAAAGGGATGAAAAAGTGAAGTGTAATCCCGCTGCTGACTACTGATATAACACAGGCTCGCTCGAGCGACAAGACACAAAGAAAACCTCGCTCAAGCGAATAAAGTCTCACTCGAGCCAACAATGCAAAGCTTCAGGTCTGCAACCAGAAGCACGCTCGAGCGAAGAAAATCTCGCTCGAGCGAAGAACTCCAAAACATAGTCTTCGTTCGCTCGAGCGAAGGAAAGCTCGCTCGAGCCAAGGATTACAACTCTCAAGTCTAAACCCAGACGCAGACGCACGCTCGAGCGAAGGACTTCTCGCTCGAGCCACCAGACACAACACCTAACTCTCGCTCGAGCGAAGGATCTAAAACAAGGGGCTCGCTCGAGCGACAAAAGCCTCGCTTGAGCGAAGAACAAAAAATCTGGCAACAACACTTGGTTTAAAAACTCACCCAACCTGTCACAAACCTGCCTAACACATCCTAAAATTCATATACAAAGAATCGAAGGATGGAAACAAGATACAACAATAACCAACACCCACAGAACCAAGTCCGGGTTACAATAACCAATAGAGGAAAAATCGGGATCGCTATATAACCACAATCATAATTAAGATTAATTAACATAACACGTGACAAGGTTATCACAAGAACACTGGAAAGCTATTATAAGGGTTCTAAGATATCTCTGATTTACTCGTAACATTAGGCTTAATTATACTAGATATCCAGCAGTACTTGAAGGATACTGTGATGCAAATTGGATATCAGATACTAGAGACTCAAAATCCACCAGTGGGTATGTCTTTACTCTTGGTGAGGCGGTTGTATTTTAGAAATATTCCAAACAGACTTGCATTGCTAGGTCTACTATGAAATCAAAATTCATAGCTTTAGATAAAGCTGGGGGAGAAGCAGAATGACTTTGCCACTTCCTTGAAAATATTCCAATGTGACCAAAATCGGTGCCTGTTATATGCATACATTGCGATAGTCAATCAACAATAGGTAGAGCACAGAGTCATATATATAATAGTAAGTCGCGACACATTCGTCGTCGACATAACACCGTGAGACAACTACTCTCTAATGGAAATTTTCATTGAATATGTGAAGTCTAAAGACAACATAGCGGATTCATTAACCAAAGGGTTAACAAGAGAGTTAGTTGAGAATTCATCGAGGGGAATGGGACTTATGCCAATTAAATAAGAATTACCACAACGGCAATCTAACCTAGTTGACTGGAGATCCCAAGATCTAGGTTCAAAGGGACAACCGAGTTGTGTATGACTTATAAGGATCACTAGGGAATCAAACTTTTCCCATTTCTATGATGAAATAGTGATGTCTGCAGCATTTTAGGTTAAGTAATACTTTTAATGATTCTTATATCTAAGAATACCTAGTGGACTATGACAGGATACTCTTCATAAGAATTACCTATATGAGTGTGAACTGGGCCAGTTCTATAAGATTTGTGAAGGGTTACAATTCTTTAGAGCACTCATGAAATACCAGGTTGTTTAGGACCAAAATGAACATAATAGTGAGAACTAAACTGTGTTTGGTAATATACTGTGTGAGTTCTATTGTCTTGGTTTACATAAATGACTGAACAGTTCAAGACATCATGTTCACTGGTTAACTAGTAAATTCGATAGTGTCTCACAAGGGAAGGTTCAAAGCCAAAAGCTACCTATCCTTTGCAGAATATTTTCAATTTCTGTACTCTCAGTAATTAAATCATGTTGTTGCATTTTATCTTCGTCAAATTCTATTCATGTGGGGAATTGTTGGAATTTATGGGTTTATAGGCTTATTTTGGGCGAACTTCGAGCCTAAATTTGAGTGAGTCCCACACGTCTTTTAGGGTGGGTCCAAAGAGGTGACGTGTTCGTTACTGCATGGCAAGTCACACCGTGAAGACGGTTCGTCAAAACCGTTTATGAGTGAATGAAAAGTTGACATCGTTTTCGGGTTCGTGGAATGGACAACTAAAGAATAAGGCCAAGTTTGGGATACTTAAAAAAAGCTAAAAAGTCAAAAAGTTACTCAAAAAGTTAAAAAGTTAACACTATTCATCAAAAGTCAACAATTACGGCTGCACAGCTCCCAATCCTAATTTTCCTCTACAAACCAATTTTTACAATTTTTTATTACACATTTTTTCATAAAAAGTCAAAAAGTTAACCCAAATATCCATATTTTTTCCCTCAACTTTTTAGTCCAAAAAGACAAAAAGTGCACTTATTTAGGACACCCCAAACAACCCCTAAAATGTGGGTTTCCTTGTAAGGCTTGTCCCACATTGGAAACTTTAGAGAATTCATGTGTGTATATAAGTTCTAGGTGGCAACACTTGTGCTGGGCCCCAAGGGGCACCCCAAGTTTGTAGAAGGGATGAGTTATGAGCAAAGTGGGCCTTAGCCCAAACCACTACACACGCGCACCGTCGTCGCCCTTTCGTCCGGCCGAGTCGTGCCGTGCACGGGTTTGGGTTGTGGGTGGGTCGGTTCTAATATTAATTTTTTAGACAAAATTTATTTGAATTTTTTCCATAAATTCTTGCGGGAAAAATTATTTTTTCTGAACGAAATTAATTCAAATTTTGTACCAAAGTTGAATTCAATTTTTCTTGTCTATACAGTGCCTTTCCGGTTCAAATTTCCAATAGATTCAAGCTGGTTTTAATAGTTTTAAAACTGCCAGCAGTTATATAGATTCAAACTGCTGCAGATCTGTTCAATTTTGAACTGTATTTGTTTATTTCAAAAGTGCACCTGTCCATTTCAAAATGAGACCTGTTCGGATCTGTTTAAACTACCACCAAGTTGCCTATAAATAGAGATCATTTCTAGCAGTTTTTGACATCCAGAAATCCAAAAATTTCATTGTCTTTTCGATTTTGATCTCCCTTTGCATTATTCTTCACTCTAGTTTTTTAAAGAGAATTATTTGAGAGTATAGAAAACAGTTCGGTTCGTTGTATAGATTGTTTGGAATACTACTACATCTGAGAAGATCATTGTATCCTGGGAGATAGATGCCATCTATCCGTAAGCACTGTAACGGGACGAATCTGTCTTAAGGACAGGGAAAGAATGTCACACACTCAACTTGATCTTTTAAATATTTATTCGGTTCGGTAAATAAATTCTATAAGTAATTTATTTTATTTGTTAGATTTGGTTTTAACTTATTTATTGTACACAAAATATTGTTCCAACAGAAATTGCTAGTCTGTTCCTTAGAGAGGTTTAATTGTTCCATGGGACTTTTAATTCCATGTCAAGTTTTCAAAACAAACATGATTTTTATAGTTTCACCTCACTATTAATTCAATCTTATCATTCATCTCTCAAAATAAACAGGACCTAAGGGCGGTCAATAAACATAAAAAAAATGTCAAAAAAATTTATAATTTCAATACACTTTTTACATATTTAAAAATAGATAAAATATTTATATATTTTTTAAAATATTTTTTCATCACTAATAACGGTTTTAAGAATTTATTTATTTATTTTGGTATAATATGCACTAAACATGACCGACATTTTTTTCGCGTTTTTTTTAATATTCTAAAAAATTAAATTATTTATCAAAATAATTAAAATTTTAGACTATTTATTAAATTAATCTATTTTTTTTAAAAATATAAATTTAAAACGTGATTTCACGATAAGATTACATTTTGATGATGCAATTCATATGGACACGACTCACTGGTGTGAAGACGTCATATTAACAAACCTACAATTTTAAATAATAAGTTAGTTCGATAAATAATTTTAAAAGTTAATTATTTTCATAAATAGTTTAATTTTTTTGAAATATTCACAAAAAAAAAAAAAAAACTCTGCCTGGTTCTTCGTCTGGCGGCTCGAGCCAAGCCGAATGCCACCTCTCAAGCAGCCACGCCCAACCCCACAGAATACATTGACGTGGCGAGACACCATTAGTTGGGCATTCCGCTGACACGGTCACTCACGTACGCTCGCCTCCACCGTACGAACGCTCACGAAAGAACCACCGATTAAAAAGGGCTACCCAATTTCATTCACAGAGCCCTCGTTATCGGAGCACTGTCTCTCTCTCTCTCTCTCTAAATTTTCTCCTCTCAAATCTCTGTCGATAGATCGAGCTCTCTCAACTATTCACTGAATCTACCAACATGGTGAGTCTGTGCTTCAGCTTCTTCTTTTGGCTAGGGTTTTGAATCTATGTTATTATTATTTTTTTTACATATATTTGTGTATTGAAGTATGTGTGTAGTGATTTTGGGGTTGGATCTGTGATAGATCTGTTTGTTCAAAGCTGATTTTCATGAAATTGAAGCGATTGATTGTGCTTATATCTATTGATCGAGTTTGTAGTTGGTGTTTTGCTAGTTCTTATGTCTGATTTGGTTTCGATTTGAAGTTGCTATGTTTGGATCAAACGAAAACGAGATGAAAATGAGATTATGTTACATATTTAATTTTTAAATATATTTTTTTGACCGATATATAAAAATATTTATTTACAATTTTTTTTTTTGTTAATTTCCTAACTCATCAAAATAATAAAAATAAATAAGTAAATGTTCATTAACTTCATTTTCTTTTCCATGTTTTCCAAGATCTGAATATCTGAATTTTGATCGGATGTATCTGATTACCGTGACTTTTTGCTTTTAAAGTTTGAAGTTCATTAGTACTTGGTTGAGTTGGATCTAAAGTTAATCGAACTTTTTTTTTAAATTTTTTTGCGGTCTTTCTAATTAATTTGTGGTCATGATTTTTGTATTTGGATCTGACTATCCATGCTAAAATTTTGTAAGTCATTTCACTCCTCAGTCTTTGTATTCTCTCCTTAGTTGATTGATCGGAAAATGAAAAATAATGTAAGAAAGAAAAATTTAGCTTATTTTGGTTGCGTTGCGTTTGCTTCCTGAAATAGCTGCTAGGGGTTCAACTAGTGTAGATTGTTATTGTTTTGTTGGTCTCATATATAATTGTAATTTAATTGAAAAAACATTTGAGATTTTCTACAGCAACCAATGTCAGCAATAGTTTCATGGATCTGGTTGAAAAAGTGGCAGGGTCTAGCTCTTACCACCAGAGCTATGGTGCCAAGATCTGGAATGGAATTTTGTTTTGGAGTTCCATTTATGTGAACTTTGTAATTGGCGAGATCCTGGACTGGAATTGGCAATCCCAGAGCCTCCCACCATTGCGGGTTAGATGCATGCAGTGTTACCCCAATGTGCAGATAAACTGCTTCCCTGGTTTGAACCCATGGTGCTCATGTTACAATGGAGTAACTTTACCACTGTGCCAAGGCTGCCCACCCTCTATACCCTGGACTGGACTGCAATCAGTTGTGTGTGGGATACTCTCTACACCTCACAAGGGTGAATAGAGCTACTATTTTTTATTATCATATTGATGATAGGAGTTTGATAGTGGATTTGCCAATGCAAACCCATCACAAGAATTGATTCCTTATAGTTTTCTTTTATTCTTTTGCTGATCAAATTGAGCATAATGGAGATTCCCTTGTGCTATATGACTGTCGGCACCCGATTTATGCTAGCAACTTCTATCTTATTCTTACTTTCATTAGATGCATGATTTTTCTATGGAACTGTTTTTCAGTTTATTGTTTAAAATATGGATCTGTTTGATGTTATTGAGGCTACAATTGGTTATCTTGTCACTGATAGATATAGTAGATTGTAAGACCTAATTGATATTGGTGATGGCTATCCATTTTACAGGCCAACGCCGCTTCTGGGATGGCTGTGCATGATGACTGCAAATTAAGGTTTATGGAGCTGAAAACAAAAAGAACTTATCGCTTCATAGTTTTCAAGATAGAGGAAAAGCAGAAGCAAGTTATTGTGGAAAAGGTTGGTGAACCAGCCCAAAGCTACGAGGACTTCACTGCTAGTCTTCCTGCTGCCGAATGTCGCTATGCTGTCTACGACTTCGACTTCATGACAGCAGAGAATGTCCCGAAAAGCAGGATTTTCTTTATTGCTTGGTATAGTAAATGTTATAGCCGTCTGTATAATCATCTACTCAATCTTCCTCTGTTCATTTTGATTGTTTTTTGGTTTTTTGAAGGTCACCTGATACATCGAGGGTCAGAAGCAAAATGATTTATGCTAGTTCCAAGGACAGGTTCAAGAGAGAGCTTGATGGCATTCAGGTGGAGTTGCAAGCTACCGATCCAACTGAGATGGGTCTTGATGTTTTCAAAAGCCGTGCCAACTGAATATGAATCGGAGAACTCCTCCAATGCAGTCTTCTTTACTTGGGTGAAATGTCTATAGTTTATGCCTATGGATGGTGAACTTGGCTTGACAATGGTATTGGTTTTATCCAAGTGCTACCATACAGTATCCTCTTTATTTGAACAACATTTGTGGTTATTGTTGATTTGTTATTGTAGAACTTATTATTGTCTCACTTGTAGAGGTTGTCTACAAGCTAGTATGTAACAGTTTGTGGGGGGGTTTAGGTATCACACCTTTAGTCTGTTTTCAAGATTTAAAAGGATAATTGACCCCTGTTGCTTTTCTTTTGGAGTGGTAAAATGGCATGCTTTTTGGCCTTTTCTGGCTGCTGTTTGTTTTATGAGAAATCAGTAAACATGTTGGGAAAACAGCTATTTGTTCCTGTACTTCTTCCTAGTTTACTTTTATTATTTTTTGAACACTCAATTGAGAATTTGTATCTGTGGAGATCATATGATATGCTTGTTTTAATTCCTTTGGTTTTGAGCATTTCTTGTGGATATGGATGTTGGGTGAATGGCAACGTTAAGTTGGATAAGCTTCCACCCCATGGAATGTGTTTTTTCCTTAAGTACATGGAAATTCATACACCTTCACCCCATTTTGAGGTGTGTATCATATGTCTAGTTATGACATTTGTAATTTTTAGTTATGACTTATTGTGATTTGATTATTATTCATTGTGATATTAGGTAGAATTTATTGTGATTATTATTTTGATTATAATTGAAAATGTTTTTAATTATACTTTGAGTGGTGTTTAGTTATGAATTATTATTATTATTATTATTATTATTATTTATAATTTAAAGGGATTTAGTTATGAGACTTGTTTGTATTAGAAACTCTTATCTGGCTTACTTTGAGTGGTGTTTAGTTATGAATTATTATAATTATTATTATTTTTTATAATTTAAAGTGATTTAGTTATGACACTTGTTTGTATTAGAAACTTTTTTCTGGCTTTGACTTTTAGGTCATGTTTGGTTTATGATTTGGGTAGGGATTTGGAAATGAAAATAGAAATGAAAAAGGGAGGGGAATTGTAGATGAAATATAACTATATTTTTTAAACATTTTTTTCCTTTTCAATTTTAAATCCCTACTTAAATTTATGAGTTACACAACCTTAAGCTTTTATTTACTAGTGTTCTTTATTTTCTCTAATTGTTTTTTGATGTATGTGTTTTAACTCTACTCTTTATTGTGAATATTTATATACACAAACTGTTTAAAGAGTCTTTCAAGGCTTTTTATATGTAGCTATCTTCAAAAAAAATTTGTTAAAATAATTATTGTAATAGTTAATCATTAGAGTGATTAAAATATGGTAATGTTAGTTCTAATAGCTTCTCATTTAGAAAGTCTCTTGGAGATACTATTATTCAGGAAGAAAAATGATGAAGACTACTTTTTCCTCACCCGTTTTGACTCCCTCTTTTTCCTGATTGGTTAATTTTTTTTTGTTTTTTTATTTTAATTATGAGGGCATTTTAATTACTTTTCATGATACAAGTTGTCTTGTTCTTTGAGACAAAATTATTTGGCATATAGGGGGAGATGAAAGTTTTGCAGTGTTGAGCGATAAGCATTACGAGATAAGTTATTACAAGTTAAAAAAATATGAATAAAATGTAAGGTATTAAAATAGTTCTATCGTGTGGATAAGTTATTACAAGTTACAAAAATGTGAAGAAAATGTCAGGTATTAAAATAGTTTTATCATACTCTTTTAAATGCAAATTAAATGTGACTGGTACACCTAATAAATAAATAAAAATACATCACTTATTTCTTTTTCATATTTCCCCAATTTTTAATTTTATTTTATCTAATCTTCACCCACTAATCTTATCTAATCTTCACCTAAAAGGGCTTTTTACCATACAAACATGTTTGTTTTGAACGTGACGAAAGTGCATTCCTATTTGCACAACATTAAGATATGATTCATAAGAGTCAAATTGACCACATAGTTGAAAAAAACTGATCTACCTTTTCAAGTTCAATGGTTTTTATTTATTTAATTGTTTTTCAAAAATAATTTCATTGATTATTTCCCTTACACTTGCTGAGCGTAAATAATGAATTATATCAATTTTTTAAAGTAATATTATACAAATTAATGATTCTGGCAATTTTTTTTTTTTTAATTACCTATGTGACAATTGTCATATTAAAACAAATTATTAATTTATATAATAGTATCCTTTAATCTCCACCCGTCACATGTGTTGTGGGGGTGGTGGGGGTTGGTGATTGAGGGAGTCTCAATCACAGTCCATTCAGGAATGTATTAATCATTTATTTTGGGGTTGGGGTTGGGGGAATAAGAACTTCATTCAAAGACTATGAAAAACCATACATAATAGTATTCATACTCAATTTGCATACCCAGCCAGAGGCCATTGCAAGCAGAAAGAAAAAAAAGGAAATAAAAATACAACCAACTAAATTCAGTCATCCCCAAGTGTTTGAAATTTCATAACTCCTTTCAACTAGATATGAAGCTCCAAAAATGATAGTCTTCTAGAATCTAAAGCGAGCAAGCTCCTTAGCATCGTTCAATCAAATAAACTCCAACACCACACAACGCAGTTGAAAACTAAGACATCACAAGACCTGCAACGAGAAGAGGAGAAAAACATAAGGCATAAATTGCACTTCCTAAATTGATATTTTACATTCTTTAATTTGCACACTGAATTACTCTTAAATGGGAAGTTGGGAGTAGTGTTGTTTGTCCTTAGCAATGTTGTTGTCATGTTAAGCTCGGCAAGAATGGCCAGAGATCTTAACAAGTGAGTCTATGAGGACATTTTAATTATGAGGGCATTTTAATTACTTTTCATGATACAAGTTGTCTTGTTCTTTGAGACAAAATTATTTGGCATATGGGGGGAGATGAAAGTTTTGCAGTGTTGAGCGATAAGCATTACGAGATAAGTTATTACAAGTTAAAAAAATGTGAATAAAATGTGAGGTATTAAAATAGTTCTATCGTGCAGATAAGTTGTTACAAGTTATAAAAATATGAAAAAAATGTCAGGTACTAAAATAGTTTTTTCGTACTCTTTTATCTACAAATTAAATGTGACTGGGACACCTAATAAATAAATAAAAATACATCACTTATTTCCTTTTCATATTTCCCCAATTTTTAATTTTATTTTATCTAATCTTCACCTACTAATCTTATCTAATCTTCACCTAAAAGGGCTTTTTACCATACAAACATGTTTGTTTTGAACGTGACGAAAGTGCATTCCTATTTGCACAACATTAAGATATGATTCATAAGAGTCAAATTGACCACATAGTTGAAAAAAACTGATCTACCTTTTCAAGTTCAATGGTTTTTATTTATTTATTTAATTCTTTTTCAAAAATAATTTCATTGATTATTTCCCTTACACTTGCTGAGCGTCAATAATGAATTATATCAATTTTTTAAAGTAATATTATACAAATTAATGATTCTGGCAAATTTTTTTTTTTTAATTACCTATGTGACAATTGTCATATTAAAACAAATTATTAATTTATATAATAGTATTTTCTTTAATGAAAAACAAAAAACACAAAAACAAAAACCAACACACACGTCATAAACATGATGATGGAACGCACCAATGATTTAATTCCACTATGGTAACCTAGTGATAATTTTGGTGGAGTTCTTTGATTTTTTATTTTTAAATACTAAATTATGTTGTTTAAACAATTATTTTTTATTATATATTATTAAACTGCTAAACTGCTAAAAAAAAAGTTATATTTTTTTCTAAACTTTTGTTGTCTGTAATGCGTCTCTTTCAAATTATATTAATTTTTTTTAATAAACTTTTTAAGCCTATTTTGCGTAGATAAATTTAAAAAGAAAAAGAAAAAAGCCAAGAAATTAACTATTTTTTTCCTTTTTTTTACTCTCTAAGTTTTTTGTCTTTCAAAATTTATAATCTTTTTTACTTTATTCAGTCCATCTAAGTAGAACTCAAAAATATAATTTTTTTTTTTCTATTTTAACAAGTTCACCAAAAAAAAATCATCCCCAAATACTATCCCACCAAAAGTTTTCAACTTTACAGTCACCCCCACATGTAGTTTGAGAAGTAAAATAAGGAAGTTAGGTGTAAGTCATATTAAGTGGATTTATTATTTAATAGATTTTGTAATAATTAATGATATTTTTTATTATATATTATTTAAAATGTCGTTAATTATTAATTTTCAACGACAGTTTAAAAATTGTCATAAAAAATATCATTAATTATAAGTTGATTTATTATTTAATAGATTTTGTAATAATTAATGATATTTTTTATTATATATTATTAAAAAATGTCATTAATTATTAATTTTTAACTACAATTTAAAAATTGTCATAAAAAATATCATTAATTATAAGTTTTAGCAACAGTTTAAAAAAATTGTCACAAAAAATGGCTACTACTTTTCAACTTTGGTTTGCAATGGAGCAACGGTGTCTTCAGGCACAACTGAAAACAACAGTCGGTAAGAGCAGTGAGATGGGGAGATCTTGCCGGAGAAGATGGGAAGTAGGCGACAAAAGCAGTGATCGTGGCATGGGTAAGGTGGAGGAAGGGACGTGATTTAGATCGTGAAGAGAGAAAGAGTGCATATATAGAGAGAGAGAAAAGAGATAGAGAGAAAGAGTGACGATTAAGGTTTAGTTCTAGAATAAGGCTTAAACAATATCAAAAATGATTTTTTCCCCGATTTTTGCCCCCCCCCCGAATAGCCCAAAACAGATAGGAGAAAGAGGAGGGGAAGAGGGAATGGAGAGGAGGAGGGAATGGAGAGAAAGAGAGGGCCCCTCTGCTTCCACCGATCGATCGCAGATCGCCCGGCCGATCGTCACAGCTCGTCGCAAGTCGTCGGGCGATCGTCGCAGCCCCGCCTCCTCCATCGCCTCCGCCTCTTTCTTTTTCTGCTCTGCTACTCTTTCTTCTTATTCTTTCTTCTTCTTCTTATTCTTTTCTGATTGAAAAAAAAAAAAATCAAAACGACGAAACGATGTCGTTTTGAATTCGGGGAAGCTCTCTTTTGAGCTACGTAGCACAACTCATACAATATATATACGGGATAGTTTGGTCATTTTGCTTAATGCACACATTTAATGAAATATTATTTTAATGACAATTATACCCTAAATTAAAATAACCATAATAGACATTCACTAGCACCCATAATATTATATGAAAATATTCTTTGTATGTATCTTTTAAAAATAAACAAAAAAAACTCAACATACACCGTTTGAGTAAAAAAAATTAAACCCTAATTTTTTCATTGTTGTCACTTTATTTGCTATGCACTCTATACTCCGTTATTGCTTGCAAAGAAATACTCTCATAACAACTCTCATATTATTTTAACCTCTAGACTCTATTAGTGACGAAAATGTTAGTTTTTTCATAAAAAAACCCTTTTTTTTTTTTTCCTTTTGCGGTTTTTAGTCAAACAACTAGTACCGAATTATTTCATTATATTTGGACATTAACTGCTGAATTATTTTATTATATTTGGACATCAACTGCCGAAATTTTTTTTTTTTTTTTTCGAACAAATTTGACGAACTAATCACTTCTATTCGAAAGTTAAGTTTCGAATGAAATGTATAATTTCGGAAAACCAGTGTCAAAATCCCCAAATCTAAAAACAAAAAAAGAAAAAAGAAAAAGAAAAAAAAAAGAGTGTTTTATGGCAATGAAATGCACACAGATCTAGAAAATGATAAATGCAATAATAAAATGGAATGATGTCTCATCTTCAATAATATTTTGGAGGGTTTTTAATAGTGTTTTTAATGAAAGTTCAATGGAGGACTTTGTCTTCACCTCACTTTACTTCACTTCATACTTTGGTCTTAAATAGTCTTCATGTGGGTCTACAAAAGGGTCTACAAATCTGGAAGTAGGTGAGGGTTGAGTGATATGTGTAAAATGATTATGAGTGAAGGATATAATTGTAACTTTTAGTATGTGGATTGAAAAAATTAATAAATAATCAAATTAATAAATGTGTGTACTAAGAGAAGATGTGCACTGAAGTAATTAAGTATGTGGAAATATAATTTGTCAAAAATCTACACCTAGACCTTTGGACAAAAAAAGAGAGTCAATTTTAGACTTTTTGGTTGGAAAGCCCAAAAATAAAACTCCTAATTATTTTTCTATATAATAAAAATACCTCAATTATTAATTGAAATAAATTTATAATATTATTAAAAATTATTAATTAACTTGATAATTTTTTAACAAAATGAGCTATTTGTTATGAAATTAAAAATTTCAAAGAGCAGGATATAATGTATAAAATTACAAGAGATAATTCGTATTTTAAGTAAAATTTCTGGACTTTTTTTAAATTTTTTATTCTATTTTATTTGTCTAAAAAAATAAATAATCTATTTTTATTTTAGAAACTACTTATATTGGGTTCGTTTGGGAAGAAAAAGCCTAGCGTTTTTTTTAACTATTTTAATCAAAAATAAAATAAATAGACTTTTTAACTTAATAAGATAAAACATAACATTCAACTCATAATCATTATATTTTTTCTCTTATAAAAATAAAAAAAATCAAAAAATTCATTCCAAATAAAAAAAAATTAAAAAATTAATACCAAACGTAACTTTTTAATTTCGGACTAAAATAATTTTAAAAAAAAATCAACTTAAAGAAGTCAAAAAAACCAATATGACTAAAATTGATGCGTTAGTGGAACAGTGGTCGGCTCTGCGTGAACCGAAGATTTCTATTTGGGAGGTTTTATCCGTTGGTTTTGGCAAAGAGAAGACTGTGTTTTCTCGAGAAAATTTCGTTCTTCTTGTGTAAAATTTTCCCTCTTATCTTAGCCCATGAATGAACTCATAATTTTCTTTCTTGCTCTATGAAAACATCTTGTTGGGTCGCTCTACTCTCTCTCTCTCTCTCTCTCTCTCTCTGAAGTTAACTAGCATGCTACATGTTTATTAAATTGTCTCAATGGCTTTCTCTAGAGAGAGAGAGAGGGTTCCTTTGTCTCTCTCCCATGCCTTAAACCACCCACCTCTTTCTCTCTCTTCAAACTCCCTCAAATTCATCTCTTTCATACCCAATAAACACCATGAGTCTCTCACTTCAATCTCAGCCTCCACTTCACCTTCTGTCTCAACTCTCTCTTCCTCCCCAACCCACAAACTCCCTCCAGGCTTCACCCCAAAGCAGCTCCTCGACACTCTCCGCTGCCAAAACGATGAAACCTCGGCACTTCGCCTCTTCGAATGGGCCTCAAAACAGCCTAATTTCACACCCATTTTGTCAATATATGAGGAAATTCTTCGGAAGCTTGGACAAGTTGGATCGTTTGATTCAATGAGGCAAATCTTGGAGGACATGAAAGTTTCCAAGTGTGAGGCCATTGAAGGTACTTTCTTGATTTTCATTGAGAATTATGCGAAATTCGATTTGTATAATGAAGCTATTGGTGTTCTTGATGTGATGGAACAAGAATTCGGATTGAAACCGGGCACGTTTACTTATAATTTTCTGTTGAATGTTCTTGTTGATGGAAACAAGTTGAAACTAGTTGAAATTGTTCACTCTATGATGTTTAGTAGAGGAGTTAAACCTGATGTTTCGACTTTTAATATCTTGATAAAGGCTCTTTGTAAAGCCCATCAAATTAGGCCTGCGATTTTGATGATGGAAGATATGCCTAACCACGGTTTGGAACCGGACGAAAAGACCTTCACGACCATAATGCAAGGTTATATCGAGGAAGGGAATTTGGATGGTGCTTTGAGAATCAGAGAGCAAATGGTAGCAGTGCAATGCCCATCGAGCAATATAACAGTTAATGTTTTGATTCATGGGTATTGTAAAGAGGGTCAAATTGGGGAAGCTTTGAATTTTGTACAAGAGATGTTTCTTGAGGGATTTTCGCCCGATCAATTTACCTTTAATACTTTGGTGAATGGTTTGTGCAAGTCTGGGCATGTTAACCATGCTTTAGAGATTCTGGATTTAATGCTTCAGGAGGGGTTTGATCCGGATATCTTTACATATAACACTTTAATATCTGGATTGTGTAAACTGGGTGAAGTTGAAGAGGCCGTGGAAGTTCTCAATCAGATGCTTTCAAGGGATTGTTCACCTAATACTGTAACATATAACACTCTGATTAGCACCTTGTGCAAGGAGAACCAAATTGAACAAGCCACTGCATTTGTTCGTGTTCTCACAAGTAAGGGAATTGTACCTGATGTTTGTACGTTTAATTCTCTAATACAAGGTCTCTGCTTGACAAGAAACCACAAAACCGCAATGGAATTGTTCTACGATATGCAAAATAAAGGGTGCCAGCCTGATGAATTTACCTATAATATGCTAATTGACAGTCTTTGTTCTAAGGGAAAACTAGATGAAGCTTTGGACATGCTTAAAGAAATGGAATCAAGTGACTGCGCGCGAAGCGTAGTAACGTATAATACTCTGATTGATGGGCTATGCAAAAACAAGAAAATTGAAGAAGCAGAGGAGATTTTTGATCAGATGGAACTCCAAGGGGTTTCAAGAAATTTGGTGACCTATAATTCCCTTATTGATGGCCTTTGTAAGAGCAAGAGGGTTGAGGAGGCCGCCCAGCTTATGGATCAGATGATAATGGAAGGACTGAAGCCTGATAAGTTCACATATAACTCACTTCTCTCTCACTTCTGCAGAGCGGGCGATATAAAAAAGGCAGCAGATATTGTCCAAACCATGACTTCAAATGGGTGTGAGCCGGATGTTGTCACCTATGGAACCCTAATACAGGGATTGTGTAAAGCGGGTAGAATTGAGATTGCGAGTAGGCTCCTCAGAACTATCCAGATGAAAGGAATGACTTTGGCCCCACAAGCTTATAATCCTGTGATTCAAGCACTCTTCAAACGGAGGAGAACAAAAGAAGCCATGAGACTCTTCAGAGAAATGGATGAGAAGGGTGGCCCTCCCGATGCCATCTCATATAAAATTATTTTTCGTGGGCTTTGTTGTGGTGGAGGACCTATCAGAGAGGCAGTTGATTTTGTAGTCGAGATGACTGAAAAAGGATTCATACCCGAATTCTCTTCTTTCTTTATGCTGGCTGAGGGTCTTTGTGCTTTATCCATGGAGGACACATTGATTAAGCTTGTTGATAGGATCATGAAGAAATCAAACTTCTCGGACAATGAGGTGTCAATGATAATGGGGTTTCTTAAAATCCGTAAATTTCAAGATGCATTGGCCACTCTTGGCAATATCTTGAATGACCGAAAGCCCAAAAGAGGTTACTGGTGAAGGAGGAAGATAAAGCTTGGACTTCGAGCTTTTTTTTGACATTGGAATCTGGGAAAGGGACTGTTTTTTGAAAATTTGGATTTCTTTTGCATCCACAGGATGACAAAGTATGAGCTAACTGAGAAAACTCCCTCTTCCAACTTTAGTTTCTTTTCCAGCAGCAAAGGAATTTTAGGTGCTGCCCTCCCCTTGTAGTACATTGCTTTAATATCTTAAGCATACATGATATCACTATTCAACAAATATGCATAATGAATGATTTTCCTGCAATTGGTTTCTTGATGAGTTCTTCTATAATGTGTAATTAGCTTATTTTTACTTTCATGTTAATTTGATTGGGTGATTAGCTGTGTCAACTGTTGAGTCAAGCCACAAGATACACTGTCATGAGGGGTCTGGTGCATTGTGACACATACATTGGCGTGGTCTGTAGATTAGGAAAAGGACAGTGTGTAGTGTTGATTGATTCCCATAAAACTCGAGTTTTGAGGGGGTCATCAGATTCTAACCTAGACTTGAGCTTTATTGGCGCAAATGGCTATCCTCAGATTTGAATTTGCTTTCCCCACTCTTGAACAACCCATGATTTTACCATTTGCACCAAGTCGTGGTCAATTAGGAATTTAGGACACTGTTGAAATCCAATTGCACCCTATTTGGAGTCACAATATGTGTTAGGCTGTCATTAGACTTCATTATATGTGGATCAGGCATGGGCGTTTAGCAATATGTATGAGGTAAAAAACTCATCTTTGCTTTGCACTGGTGAGAATTGGTTCTCACTCCTGACTATTGCTTGTGATTTTTAAAGTTGAATTTACTGGAACATACATCTAATAATTTCCAGACCTGACAGTGGCAGATGACTCGTGCACTGGGCTTTCCTGTTTTTTTTTTTTTTTTTTGAACGGGTGGTTATGCACCAGTTTGGTTTATGCATTTTTGCCCCAGGATTGGATGAATTCAATCAGTGTCTATATGGGTTGGTTATTCAAGAATTTGGTATGAACAGTTGTCTCTCACAATCTGGTGAAGGTGACCTCTCATTTCCGTCACAAGAACCAGGTAACTCTATGTTCTCTCTTTTTTATGGCTTGGTTGGTAGATGGGAAGTTGGGGTAAAATTGAGGGCAATATTGATGAGCTTCTAAATGCTTTCAAGAACATCTTTGGACCTCATTACTTGACAATTTTTTTTAATACTATCATACCTGCAGTAAAATTACAAGGACAAAAATAAATTTTTTTGTTTCTCTTTGCACTCACACCAGCCACCACTCTCTCCACCTCCAGTAGCCACCGCCACCACCTCCCAACACAATTCTAACCCCTCATTGCCCTCTCTCACAGCCACCTCTCAGCTTTTCCCGCGACACTCTTGCGACTCCTCATTCCTTTTCCTCACCCAATCCTCAACCTTCATTGAGCCACCACTGCCTTCGCTATCTACCCTACCACCCTCGTCTATCGTCAGTCTCTCCAACCACTTCTTCATCCACTACCTATACTCTACCCTTACTCATTCCCTTTCATTCGAAATCCGGGCCCTTGGTTCGAACAAGTAGTGTCTAGTGTTGAACAAATGGTAGTGATTCAGATATAGACCAAGTCTTGTGATGGCAGTGATGAAGAAAGAGAGAAAGAGAAGTATGGGATCTAAGGAAGATCACAGCAGAATCTGGGAGAAGGAGAGTGAGATGCCACTAATGGAGGTTGGGATAGTGGTTGAGGTGGGGGTAGGAATAGAGTAAGGGTTTGAGAGAGTGGAGATAATTTTGATATAAAGTGGATTGTTCCACAGTTTTTTTACAAAATTAAAATTAATTGATGGAGGTACGAAGAAATGTTGAAAAAAAAAGGGAGGTTTAACAAAATTATAGATTTGTTTGATGCAGTTTATTGTAAATTAAAAGCTAATCTATAACCATCTATAAAAAGCGTGAAATATTGTGAACCTAACGCTCCATATGACTACCCTCAAAACCCTTTGAAATTACCTGGTTCACCCACCACCATTGTTGGTTATGCAAATCTGAAGCCATATGGGCCTGCAATCTATCGGCCACGTGGTCTCACGAAAGACAGCTGGCAGCATGGATGCTGTGCTACGCAAATGACTCATCCTCATCAGTGGAAGAACAAATACAGGTGGGCCACCGCTATCCACTTCTGGAAAAAAGAATCAATCCGTAGAAGGAAATATCAATGCTGGTACTGCTACCAATCAACGCAATCAAAGTAGAAGGAAGACTCATAAAACATACTTCCATAAATCACGGATTCACGGCATTTGATTTACAATTACAGTCCTCCTCTCTCTCACTCTCTCTCTCTCACCCACACACAAACCCTTGATTGCCTTTGGTTTAGGTTTTGTCATTCTTCACTTATTTTACCAATCAAATTCAAGTTGAAGAACCTATAAGAGCTATGAAATTTTTTATTAGCAATTCTCCATAATGGTCATGTGTCCAATTTTATATGATATATATATATATGTATTTATGTTCAATGATTACTTTGTATTTGATAGATAATGGTCTTGCTGGGCATACAAAACTTATGCATAGAAGCTATTTGAGGATTTGTCAAAGAGACTAACACTTCACTCTCTCCAAGGTTTGACATAGATATAAATTTTGTTGTGGTATATGATTTGTTTGTTAGTAATTCTCCATGTGGTATGTAGATTCAATCTTTTCACCTTCTATTTTGTTAGGATTTCCCCTCTTGCTTGTGACAGGAAACCACAAAAATTCTGCATGTCAGGTGTTTGAAGATATTTCTGAGAGATGCTTGGAACCAGATGTATTATGATACACATATATGTGGAGGTAAGGATGATGTGTATCTTCAAATCCTTGAATTCCACTTGCAAGTTGCAAGGGTTACGACGGAGATCCAACAAAAACCATTTCATTTATTGCCTAGAAGGGACTACATCAGTATTTCAAATGGAGTGTCCATGAATCTGACAATTAAAGGTGATGGTTAAGTAATGATCTCTTGCATAAGAAAACTGAAAAAGAATAGGATAATGAAGGTGGGGGTGGAAGCTATTCAGTCCATTCCTTTAAACTTGAGACCTGTTTTTGTTTTTTGAATTAAGTGTGTCCTGTGAATAGAACAGCCCATCAACCCAGTGCTGTTGAAAAACTTATTGTATACCATTAGTATGCAAGAATAGAACAAACCATCTTCTCAGTGCCCAAAAGGCACAAAAAGTAAGAGAGGAAAAATTTAGAATTGAAACTCGGTCCAAGAAACTGTTCAGTCCAATATGACTTCCAAATTGAAAGTAACGTTCTCTATCTACATTGAGGAGAAAGTCAATAGCTACAGATGCTATCTTATATGTTTAGTTCCCTTTTTGTCCAAAAAAAAGAAAAAAGAATATGATGAATATATTCACTTATCTCTATCCTATTTTCATATCTATTTATTGCACGAGATAGGGGGGAAAAAATGATGTCCATTGTCTCAGGTCTTAAATAGTAATGTAGTTTGGTTCACTTTAATCAAATGGAATGTTATTCTTTAACCTCCTTATAGAATGACTATTCTATTTGTAATATATTTTCTATCAATTTTTTAGCAAATCAAATGATCATTCCAATTAATTCCAGAAAATCAAACAGAATTGAAATGGTTTTTAAGTGGTGTCCCAGATGGAGATCTAATCAGATTCAGTCAAACCCAACATGTTTGTAACCTTTCTTCTCATTTTTTTTTTGATTAAAAAATCATAATATATCTTCTAAAGATATTTAAGATTAAAGTAATTTATACCATGAATTATCTGTTGTTATTTTATTAAATTAAATATAGTTGAATATTACATGGGTGAGGTCAGTTATACCTTTTAAACTATTTGGGCTTTAAAAATAAAAGATCGTAAATAATTATTTCTTATTATTTGGTCATTGTTACTTGGAAAAGTATGTATGCTTATTGTATAAATATCAATATCGTTAAATTATTGTTTGGAAATTGAGAGTCTTTGTTTGCAGTCTTTATTAAGAATTGTTGATTAGAAATATATAAAGAAGGGAAAAGCTAAGATGATGATCTTACATAGGAACCTTTGTTAACTTCTTACCTATTAAACCATGTGATCATTATTGAAAATAATATTTTCATTGATTCAAGTCTAAATATTTCATATTCATAAGATATATTTAACATTCAAGTGTGTAGATATATTTTTCTAATGTTGTGCTTGGTTAGGGGATTTGAGAAGGAATTCATAAAGAGAAAAGGAAAAGGTGTGTGAAATTAGGTGAAATGTAAGTATATTTTATTTACATTTCACCTACCTTTTCCAAATCCCTTCTCAAATCCTTCAACCATACACGGCGCAAGTGATTTAGAAAAAGTGACCGAATCTTTACGATTCATGATTTGATTCGATTCGCGATTCAGTACGAGACCATTTCGATTCACGATTAGAATCCCGATTTGACAACTATTTATGTATTTATTTTTTGATGTAGGAACATTGCTTTTCTCCTTGAGTACATGTTTTCCCCCTTTTAATTAGCTTTTCTCTTTGCTTTGCCAGAGTGAGAAAGTATATGTTCATGTCTAAGGTCCAACTTTATTCTGTAGCATAGTGCAAAATGCATATGAAAAATGTCCAGATGTCCTTGAGTTAATGGGAACACGAACTACTTGAAACATCTTCTGCATATATAACTTGCATCATCTTTTGAGAAATAAGTATGTCAACCCGATTTCTTGGATATGAAAAATGTCCAAAACTATATATATATATATATATATTTGAAATTCAGAGCACTAGCAGGTGTGCCTGGTGACAGTAGCACTGGTTTCTTTGCTTTTTTTCAACATTGTTTATAATTGGGTGATTGTAGCATTTTTATTGGAACCACAGTTTTTAGAAAAAAATAGTCACTTCGGTTTGATTTCTGTGAACATGAGTAAATGGGTTTCTATAAAATGCGTTTCTAATTTGCTTTTGGTTTTAGTTCTATAAAATTAGAATGGGTTTTTATTTTTGTAAAATGGTTCTGATTTGGGTTTTCATGGATGGGTTTCTATCGTGTATTAGTTGAAATGGTTGGTTTTTAGCACCCTGTTTTTGGTTTGATTATGTTGCATTATCAGGTGCATAGTTTAGTTGCCGTTTAATATATCTACTTTATAAGGACCGTTATGCTTCTGAAGTACGCTGTGAGAAAATTAATTGGGTTGACAAACTCTACCAAGTAGCAGCAGTTCTTGGGATGTCTATTGAGTTTTCAGCCTCAAGTGCCTTGGAAGTT